GGGCAGCCCGTGCGTTGGCCAATTATTGCCTCATGACAGGCTTACCAGCTCAAAGATTTTCTCGACGAAGCACCTGCTGAGACTCTGGATGTTTCGAGCTATCCTTAGTGTGTGTTAGGCGTCTTCACGAATACACACACTTCCAGATTGTGATGAGGTACCCTATCAATAGGAGGGTAAATTAATAACTACCGATATTGTAATCCATATTACATTGAACAAAAAATTTATTTGTTTATAATACATTATGGAAAGCCAAACAATACGGCTGAACAATCAAGCATCAATCAAGCAAACTTTCACGATATTCCTACTGCAGTGTAGTGCTGTTCGCAAGTAAGTAAGCACTGCTCGCAATGCGCAGTGTCTGCCCAGAGAAAACCAAAAACGGCGATAGATCCGCCACCTAAAAATGCATTTAATCACACGAAAAGTGAGCAATACTTCATCAAAAAACATAAAATTTAAGAAAACACGTGAAGTTTTAAGAAAACGCGTGAAGACAGCTGAAAAGTGCTGACTTGATTGGGGAAGCTTAGAAAGAACCAATAGTGCTCTAAAAGAAGTTTTTCTTGAGCAAACAGTGCACTAAAGGAGCTCGAAATGCCGGTTTAGAACTAATTTTGGAAGAGCTACTAATTTGAACAAGCATCAAAACAGTTATGCATTATCATGATACCCGCAAAAAGCTTATGAGAACTGGAAAGTGCACGATACTGGTATGTTATGTGAGATAGTACACATACAGATTATAAATGCTCTAGTTGCTGAATAAATCAAGTAGTAGTGTGTAATGGATAACACGTCACAGTACGAAGGATGCTGCGATAATGAAAAGAGGAGGACTGAATTTCTTTCCCAATCCATATCGTTTCCAAAATGGGCTCCGACAAATACCATTTATCTGAAGCTAAGTGCGTCACTGGAAGATAATTGCATGCAAAGTGTAACGGATTTATGTCCCATCGACAATCTGAATTTTTACTTGAAATGTGACAAATTGCTGTCGTTAATTAAGGCTGAATCGAAACCTTGAAAGAAGTGGGCGTCCGTAGGAATGAAAATGTGGAACGGCCGGAGTCAGAAAGTTAAAACAAAGGATTAGATAAGGTTGTAATGCATGCAAATAAAAGAGAGTGGGGGAGAGGGAGAAATTTAAACTTGGGAAAGTAAGTAAATAGTATGGAAGGGGGGAAGCTGCTATAATTCACAATTGCTTCGTCCAGTGCTACTTTATCTGATGGCGAGTTTAAATATGATAAAGGGAACAACTTTCATACCTGATCCATGAGTTTCACAGGATTACGCGGCCACTGCACATTGTCTGGCAAAAGTGTTGCGAAAAGACGCCACGGCAAATCTGCATGCGTCAACTGCCCGCCAAATTGATTCAAGAGAGATAGGACATAATGCATGATCTCACTTTCGGTGAAGATTCGCATCGGTACTATTGGTTCCCATGATTCCTTGTAAAGCTGCAACAATTGTGTCTTAGTTGTTTGCCCTGGAACTCCTTACTGGGTTGTGAGTCACATGAAATTTTCAAGAATCTAAAGTTAAATAAATAGCGACGCGCACCGGGATAACCGGTACGATCAAGCGTTTTGCACAGTCCGTCCAATGGACATCTGCTTACTAAAAATATGGCTGTTTTACACTTTCATATATGAAAATAGTAGATATGCTGCCTGGGTCCTAAGGCGAGGAATTTCCCACTGAAAATTCCATGTACCGGTACAAGAAAGTTGAATTTGAAAAAATAAATGGGGAACATCCTTACAAATTTCAACCTTCTAGTTTTCCGGCTTCCGAG